TTAAAGTAAAATTGCACAATGTAACTTTCCCAAATGTTTTGTTTCCATACATGTGTTATTTAAAGGACACATATCTATCACTATCTATGTTATAATGTTGTTTCCTCATCAAAAACATACATAGAGTTGTGTTTTGTTACCTTCTTACATGTTTAACAGACTAACCCTGAAAAGTTCATCTCTCAAATGGAAAACACTCTGATTGAACTTTGGAGATACAGACAGACTAAGGATTACTCAAACATTTGAATATGAAACAAAATACAACTCCAGGAATTTTTTTGATGAGGTAACAATATTTTAACATGGTTTAAAGCTCACAAGAGTCGATTTGTCTAATATAGGACTTTTAACATATCTATCTCCATGTAGACAAGCTGGTGACATACACATAGTTACAGGTCAAATCTGTGGAGAGGAGTTTCCACTCACACTGTAATGCAAGTTTTCAAAGGAATTTGTGAGAAATAAAAGCATCTGTAATTGATTTGATGCAAGACTTAAGAAGAAGTTCAATAGAAACAAAAAACATTCCAGGCATAGCAAGAGCAACAAGCAGGCAGCAGACCCGCAATCAGAAATGTTACACCTTTAACTTCACATACCACAATTATTTATAAAAACTGCTAAATGGCCCTTGTCAGTAGATTTCTGAGGACCACGTTGCTTTGAACTTTACTTGACATGCATGTAGATGAGGGCCTTTTCCACCGCATGCTGTTCTTCTATTTAAATCATTTGGGGTCATCACTGCTTCAACTGTGCACTGCCAAAACATATCCAAAGTGAGCAGAGTACTTAAACTTGTACTGCCAGTCTAATGCGTTGTGGCTTTTGCTCCTCTTATCTTTGCACCACGCTGCTATTTGTGCTAATTTGCCCCCATGGTCTTTTTCTGTTCCAACTGCGTTCATTCTTGCTATATTTGACATTACCCACACTGCTAAAGACCTTTTTTTTTTTTGGTTTGGTTGGGTTTTGGGTCTAGTGCTTGTGCTTGTCCTGCTAAATCAGTCTGTGTAGCTTTTGTGTCATTTCTGATTCTTGTTTATCCTGTTGTCCAGACACATATTGCCATTGCCATATTTACAATATGTTGACGCTGGTTGAGCTATACATTATGGTGTCAGTAAACATTGATCTTTGACACTGTGAGATAATGCCTGAGGAGGTGTGCGGCTGTGTACTCACCATTACTTAGATAATGGAAAATCCCTTTCCTATCTGATGAATGACCCAGTTGTTGGATATTGGTGGCAGGAGTTTACCACAGTTTGTCTTAGGAGAGTAGTGTGGATCCCCACTAATATGACATCCATAGCCTCAAACCAACATTCTCAAAAATCTAAATGAGACTAGGGAAAGATTATTGGGCTCATATTACACTATTTTATGATCTCTGTTATGATTTTTCCTCATAAAAACATAACCAGAGTTGTCTTTTGTTTCATTCACACATGTTTATCACACAAACCCTACATATTTAGGCAGAATTTTTCTCTCACACTGGAAACAATCCACCTTGAGGTGGGTCCTTACTCGAACTAGGAAGTACGAGCACATAAGTCCTGTGCTCAGGTCTCTGCACTGGCTTCCTGTGCCTCAGAGAATAGACTTTAAAGCAGCTCTGCTTGTGTACAAGTCTCTCCATGGCCGAGCACCAAAGTACATCTGTGACATGTTAGTGTCATATGAACCATCTCGCACTCTGAGGACCTCAGGGACCGGCCTCCTGCTGGTGCCCAGAGTCAGGACTAAACAAGGGGAGTCAGCGTTTAAGGTTCATGCAGCTAAAACCTGGAACAGTCTTCCTGAACATGTGAGACAGGCCTCTTCTGTGACGCTGTTTAAATCCAGACTCAAAACATTTCTGTTTAACTGTGCATATAACTGAAAGGTTTTCATTCCGCACTCTTCTCTCCAATTTATGTCTCTCTTTTTTAATTTTAATCTTCATGATTATTTATGTTTTGATTTGTTTTTATTATGATTTTAATGTATTTCTTATTCTGTAAAGCACTTTGAATTACTTTGTGTACGAATTGTGCTATACAAATAAACTTGCCTTGCCTTGCCTTGATGTCATGCGGTAACATAGGAAGTGCTCCATTGTGTTTTTGAACTCAAAGCATCTTCACTAGAATCATTTGGATAATTTCCGCCTTGGAATTGCTGAACTCTACTAAATTAAAGGTAAAATGTAGCTGTTAACCTGAAAACCACCACTACATGACATCATAAGGTGGTTTGGAGATACAAACAGATTAATAATAATGGATTAGTTTTGTGTGGCTGACAAAAAATGTAATTCAAGGTATGTTTCTAATGAGGTAACCATATTCTTCTATGATTTCATGCTCACAAGAGTCAATTTAGTTTAATATAAGACCTTTAAAGATCATATTCCGATATGTCCTAAATCCTATACTTTAATAATACAAAATCTAAAAAAGAGAGTAGTTCCTGGTTCAGGGTATATAAAATTCATGAAGGATAGAACAAATTATAGTTCTGCATAAATCACTGGCCTCTTAAGTTAGAAAGGTATATTTGTGTATTTGTGTGTAGTCACTTGTTTCTTCTTTCATGAAACCCAGTAGTTGTTCCGTTGCCAACAGTTGTTAGCAGGCAGCACATACAGTATGCAGTGTTTACATAGTGTATTTTGAAAGGTCACATTTGCATCTGCGCCTGGACCACTCATCTGGTATATGGGAAATGCCTCTATGCATTAAACATATCACAACTAATGTTTTATGAGGTGCGAGGTTTCAGGAAGCTGTCATAAGTGTCATATATCATTAGTTTTAAGTCCGGGAGTAGGTCTAAGGCGTTCTCACACAAGCCAGCTGTGGTAATGAGGCAGCATACTCTTCCAATTCTATTTACCCAATGTGTAAATGCATTTCTGACAGGTGTTTGCAATTGGAAAAACACAATTTCTATCAGGACAAGCCAGAGATGGCTCACAACTGTCACCTGTGTTTGCTTTGTGCTTTCCTTCAACAGCATCCATATACCAACAGAATGAAAAATGCATTGCCATTGTATTTGGTTATTACACTTTAAATATATTAATACTCAACCAACAAAACAACATTATATTATTTATTTCAGTTACATCTTGAATATGTCTTTAGTCTTTGTTGGAATGACAAAAGATGTGCTTTATAGAAGGGAAAGGTGGGGAAAATACACCACAATTAATTATTACAAATTACATCTCAACTACAGAGCTAAAATTTTCAAGAATTTAAATAATGGAGTTTGGTTTTGTGAACTCAGAAGTTATGAACATCAACAATATAATAAATAAATGCTTAAAATGTATTTTACTTTGTACTGAATCTAGAATTTACAAGAAATGAAATATTGTGTTCAGGGTTGGCGCTAAAATTTTTTACTGTGCGTCTATCCCAAATAGCCAAAAACAAAAGTGTCATTTTGGAAGTTCTGCATCACTGAATTGTGCATATTTACATTCTGCAAAGGTTCTATAATTTATGTGCCATCTGACCAGTGCTGGTCACTGCAGAAAATTGCCTTGGGCACCTCCCTCTGACTTGAAGCTCATATACTGCAGATAATCTATGAGAGAGTCATCTTTCGAACAAAACATCACTTTTATGCCAGTTTGACATTCAGTTGATATATATATATGTATACATGGAAGGCTTCCTTAGACACTAGCAGAGACAAATTTCGTGTTGACTTTACATAATGGGAAATTTAAAACAAGCTTGCAAATACAGAAACAACTGGTTGATTCTCCCAAGTCTGTTAACACAACATTAAACAGCAAGAACCTGGAAAAAAAATACCATCCAAGACTGAAACACTGAGAAGACACAGGAGAACTGTATTGTTTTTTTCTGAGTAGGTGCATTGTGATTTTGCACACATGAATGTGCACAAAAAAAAAAACTTATTCTGTTTATTGGTTGGTCCGCAGCTGAACCCTGACTTGTCTAAAGCCTCATTTTAGCACTGGCACCATTTCACGCTTTATTCATAATTTACACAGAGCTGCACAGTGGGGGACACATAAATGTGTGTTGCTGTGTGCTGCCACAGTAAACACTTTCTTTAAAAGTCATTGATGCTGCTGCACATAGAACTGAGTGAAGCTACTGGGGACAATATTATAAAATACCTAGCAGGGATGTGAACTGTGGGTCATTATAGGAATATTGCTATGTATTGTTCATTATGCAGTATATATAGAAGCTGTGTGTGAGTGTGTCTGGTGGTCAAACACACACACTTATCAGTGCCACTGGAGCCATTGCTCATTGCTATGGATGCAAAACAGTACAAAAACAGTGAAGAAGAACATCACCCATAATCATGACTAATGGACTCCATTCACATTTCAGTGGACTAATAATCACGCTGTATGCCAGAGTTCCAGTGCCAAATCAAGACCTGCAACACACAGTAGAAAATAAACAGTAAATAAATATGAACAAAGCAATACAAAGTAAAAATACAATTTTACATATAAATAATTGAAAAAATAAAAATAAATAAAATTATCATCTTAAACCATGTGATTCTGAACATAAATTGTAATAGTCTTTCAGAAGCAATGATGGAAAAATATACTATAAAGCATTATAGACCATCTTTCAATACGGCACATTTAACGTGTTGATTCCTCTGCAAACCATATTGCACCTGGGCATTTGAACCTAATGAGGCTTTGCCCAAGAGCTTGTCTTCAATAGGCAATAAAGTAGCTCTGAGTGCAACTGATATACCTCCTAATAGTGCAATTTTAAAACTCCTTATGTCTGCCTTTGAGGGAGAATGTGAAAGTTTGACCATTTATCTTAAGTGAAAATGAGCCCATAACTCATTAGATTATTATATATTTCATCTTGAATCCTATTAAGTCCACTAAGAGTGAGAGTGTGAAATCCCTGTTTGTGGATCAATTGTGTTACTTCACGAGAAGAGGCATTAAAGGTTTGGCATGAAAAACAATTAAAATGTCATACTCACTGGGACAGTTTGCAGTTGGTTGTCCTGACAAAACGTCCTGTGTAATGAATGTTACATCGGACCACGTTGTTGGTATAGTCTGATTCCCGCACCAAGAACTTTGGATTGACCTGAAGCTAAAAACACAAACAATATAATTTAACAAATATGTGTAATGATCATTCTAAAAGTCTAAAAGTTAAAGTGCAGCATAGACACGTTTGATGTGATTTATGTGCAGCTCACACTTGTATTGACTGAATGAAATATGCAGTGTTCATTGGGATGGATGAGAAAGCAGCAGCTAAGTCACGGAAGACTGCAACCAGAAAATCTCAGGAGATCTTCACATTTGAAAACTTTAGTAACCTCATCATTATTGCAGAAGCCAGATCAATTTGATTTAATGACTCCCTGTTTCTGTCCACAAAGTTATTCCAAACATCAATCTGGCTCCTACCTTTAGTATGTAGTTTCCAGGCTGAACATCTGTTATATCGATCCACTGACAGTCAATATCAGCATTGTATGTATCATAACAGCCTGGACTCAAGCCCTGGATGAAAACAAATGAATAATGACATTGTCTTATACACAGAAAATATTTTATAACATACAGATTACTTCTGCAGCAGCAGCACACAGCAAATTTGATACAGTATTGAAAAGGCACAGTATAATTTATTGGTGTTGATAGGTTTATGCTGTCCCACCTGGGTATGAGCTGTGCATGCGTAGCGTTTCAGATGTCCAAAGTCACAGGTAGTGTCCTCCAGACAGAAGCTGGCCTTGTGTCCCTCGGCCACTTTGCGTCCAGAGCTGACTTCAAGTAAATCATAGTGACTGAATTCGTCCATGCTGTGATAGTGTCTAAAAGAACACCACAAAATGCTCAGATTAGACTCAGTAAGGGTTGGTTATAATATTTTCCAGGACTTAGACAATGACAAAGTCACAACATTGTATCGCATTCACTTGGCTGACCTCATCTGTTAACACGTGTTAATGGATGTGATGGTGTGGCACATAACAGAACACATTATAAAGGTTAAAGGGACAATGAGAGCTAATTAATAACAACAATAAAATACAGCTGAAGCAAGACATCACGGCCTTAATGATGTATGAATGCTGTTAATTATCCCATATCCGCAGAGGGGATGGGAGGTGCCTTGTGTCTGAGTGAGAGTTGCAGCTCATGACATTTACTCTATTATGTGTACTGTTATGAGCCTTACAGAAAAGATAATGTATGATAAATTAGGTTGTAATTTCAGATTTCAAAAAGGTATTGGCGTTCTGAATAATGTTAAAGGAAGTTCAAACACAGTGCAATATTTTGGTAGTGACATAAGCGTTCAAGCAAAGCTTGAAAAGCTGTTGCCTTACGTCATGGCCCAGATTACAAGACAAAACTTTACTGGAACAGCCATTAAAAACACAAGGAAAGGGTGGAGGTAATTTCCACTGAGCAGCTGACCAACACTGATTTGAAAAAACATAGAGAGGCTTTCAGGTGTGTTTTCAATAATCTTTGATCTGACTCTGTACTATACGTACCTTACTGTCCTGTTTCCATTAACATGTACAGTAGAGGCACTCAGGGTTAAAATATGTAAGAAGGTGCATTTAAAGCATACTTGAGATGAGTGGTGAGTAAGAAAAGGGCTAAATGTTCTATGATTAGTATAATAGACATACCATTCAACACATAATTATTTCAGAATCATATTATAGTCTGAATAGTTAATAATAGGAAATGGGAATAGGAAGAACACTTAAGATGATCGAAAACTACATGGGCAAAACCGACAAGGTTGTGCATTATTCTGATGTAATGACAGTGATTAAAACATCTTTAGATGTGTAGGCCTTATTGTCAAAAGTATTAGGACTTTTAATTCTGATACACTTTTGATTGTTCAAAAATGGCTGCTGAAAAAATAAAATTTCACTACTGATACCTGCTCAAATGAGCATAGTAAATTCAGTATTAGTATCAATTAGAATCTAGGTATAGATTTCTTTTTCACTACACTGTGAATCATTGTTGAAAGGTATTGACTAAAAGCATTAACTGTAAGTAGCAGTACAATTCTTGCGTGATAGGACTTAAAGCACTTTTTTGTATAGCTACATTCTAAACAATCAACAGACATATTGCAATTAAGATTTTTGATTTGCTGCAGGTTTCACTTTTATAGAGATTCATACTGTCTCAGGTCAAAAATGTAGAGAATTCATAATATAGATGTAACTAATTGTCAGACTTATAAAGAACAATATAAACTAAACTAAAACTGGTGGATGTTACTGGAAGCAACAATGTTATCTTAGATTGTATTGGGCAGAATGTAGGGCAGAAAAGTATCTAGGCCTTCCAGTAGTTATTTCCCCAGAGATTTGACACCCGGCTCCGTGTTCTCATGAAGAACCATATTGTTGCCATCATACTTTAGCGGTTGTGTGATGCGATTGACAGAGTGAAAAACAGATTGATTTGTCATTGTGATCACAGAGCCAGTGGAATGATTGCCTTGGCCTGGTGCCTCCTGGGAACCACAGTGTAAATGTAGACTGATGTCAGACAGCTACAACACTGCCAATCTCCTAACAGCCAGCTCACATTCCTCCAAGATGAGCACGGAGCAACAGGGCCTGGTACTCGCGACAGCTCCACTGAAATAACACCAGTCCCATTTGGAGCGGATACAAGTGAAATATAACACATCTATTAGTTTAGAGTTGGGGCCAGACAGTTGAATGAGTCACCATTTGCAATATGAAAAAAATTAAAACAATATACCCATAGGAGGTGCGGTGGGGGGCATATTGTCATTGTGTCCTTAAGCACAACACTTTACCCACATGGCCTAGTATGAATGTGGTGTGACAGTGAGTGATAGGTGGTGACAGAGAGGCCTGTGTTACAGGTTGGCAGCCTCACTTCCATTAATCTACCACAAAGCAACTGTGGCTACAGTAGTATCTTGCTACCACCAAGAGTGAATTATATGGCATATTGTATTATTGTATTATTATTATTATATTATATTATATTATTATGGCTATGCAGTTCATGCACTCGCATAGTTGTTATTCAGAATAAATTTAATACATTTGTGACTCAAATTACTCTGGATTTCTGGAACAAACATATATCTTTACAAGGACATACGTGTATGCATGTATATAGTTGGCAGCGGCCATTGACTGAGTATATTAAAAAATACATTGATAGACATTTAATTGTTTTAATGTGTAACATGTAACTGTTTAAAATGAGATATACTATCTAAAGCTATAGAACCAAATCTTTACATACACTTTCTAACTGCAGTCAAAGCACATATGGGCCAAAAGACAAACAGAACCACTATGCATCCAGATATTGAATGCATTCCTTTGAGATAACATCAGGCTAGACACAGGCTGTAAATGCCTCTAAAATGGCTCCATGGTTACAGCTGATAGTGCAGCCAGTAACGCAGGTCCAGCTGATTAGGTCCAGGATCTGCTCCTCATTACACACTTACTGATGACAGCTGTGCCACTCCCATGTACGACGTGGTCTGTTAGGCATGAAGTCAGCGGTGCCCCGGTTCTTCACCCTCTGTGGGAAACGCAGCAACACCCTCACGTCGTAGTCAGTCGTCTCAGGGCTGTAGGCGGAGCTAAGGAGGAGAGCAAATGCGGAATATAGTTCATCACACAGCAGGGCTCCAACCAATAATTGGAATAATCTAATCATCATCATCAATGATTATGTAAACAATCTATAATAGTTAACTGGGCTACACAGACAAAAGCCAAACATGACAGCAAAAAATAACACATAATATATTTTTAAAATTACTCTAAAAGTATTCAGTCAGCACTTTTATACCATAACCTTAAAAAAGAACAAATGTCTTGACCAAAAGAATTGTTTGCAACAATTCATCCCCAAAGAGGATGAAACTCTAAATACACAGGAAGGAAATGAACAGTGTCAGAAAGGTGTTGTACAATTTGCTTTGGGGGTTCACAGAACTACTACTATAGATGGTGTTGACATTGGAGTATGGCAAATTACACCAGCCCATCTGTTGGTGATTGCTGCAAACTTAGACAGGATATGAAGGGCTTTGAGCGATGGCTGTGCTGGTGATGAGAAGAGGGCAAACAGAGGAGCTGTGGGGACACTGCTCCTCCATCAATTCACCGCCAACTCACAGGTGTCCTCTGAGAGAGGCAGAGGGTCCAGGAGAAGGGCTTTAGGTGCATCATCAGCCAATAAAAACAAGGCAAGTGGCAACATTGTACCACAGGTTTGGCTCTTCTTTCAGTACTATATTTTATTACATTGATTTCCTAGTGTTAAATTCATAGCAAATTAATTTTCTGTGTGGACACTGTGTGGTTAAAAACCTATAATGTGGCATTTGCTACAAAATCTGTTATAAATCATGTAAAGTTTGATACTTGCATTTTGTAATTAACTTTTACAATTGTTGTATCATTGCATCATTGCATCATGTTACTTTATACAAAAGGTCACATGTAGAAATGTTTCTCAAGTATCATCGTTACAATTCCATTAATTCTAGTATTCAAGAGAACCAGTTGACTTTTTAAAAATAGGCTCTGGGACATTTGTACATAGTTTACCTGGAAAGACATTTTTCCTCAGCAGCACATCGCAGAGAATACATGTGGGCTCTTTGGATGTAGGTGGAAGCTTGAACATAGTTTGGATCAGGGACCAGGTCAGGCAAACCTGCAAAATCAGAGAGAAGTTTGCAATATTAGAGATATTTTTTAAATATTTTGTAGTTATAATATTATGTCTCAACTAATAGATCATTCTGCCATCATCAAAATTAAAGTTAATATACTGATAAATTTACTTATGTGAGAGGAATACTGAGTACATCTCTGAAGTAGCTTGTCTGGCATAGGGCTGCATCTTAAATGTTTGGATCAGACCGCTCTCTGGTGTATTAAATGTTTCCATAAAAGCCTGGCAAACAAAACGTCCAGAGCATTTTAGTCTTCTTGCTTTATTACCTGATATTTATTGTGGTGCTGATGGAAGCTTTAATTTGGCCTTAGAGCAAATCAGGGCCCGTTGCTCCAGACTGGGTCACAGTGGAGAAAGCTAATGACCGTTAATTACTGTATTGTGCTTTCCAGATTATTATCACAGCTTTTAATGAGGCACTTTTGCTCTGTGGGTCATAGAGTCAGGCTGAGTTCAGGTGAAAGAGCAAAAAGAGTCATTCTCAAATAGTCTGCAATGTATAGTACATTAAAAATACATTATGTTACACATAAGTAGTAAAAGCAACACAGAACAGTGGTGTAAAGTGATAAAACAATGACCTCATTGTTGAGGTAATTGCTTTTATAGCATGACAGTGTTTTTAAGACACTGCCTTCCTCTACAGTGCTCAACAACATAAAAGCCTTTTGTGTCCATCTATCCATGTTCTCTCCTGCAACTGGTCACTGTCCATGATGCATCACACTTCAGCTCAAAACAGAGGTGACTGTCTTAAGCAAATTTTATTTTATTCATGAAACCTGAAAATGTTCAAAATAGAACCATAGCTGTCATGCCTGACTCATTTGAAAACTGTTTTCTTGCTCCTCAAATTGAATATTCACGGGTATCAAAGTGTTGAAAAATTATGACCATTGTCATAGCAATTAACAATTTAAAACAAACTATTATGCCTTTTGAATGGGACAAAGTCTTGAAAATATTACATAGGAAAGGATGCTAAAAAATGAACAGACAGCAAGCTAAGCCAAAATAAAGACACAAAAAATGGGGCTAGTGCATGTTGTTTTTAAAATGGGCCATTGCCCAAGTCTGCAGACAACCTGAGGTCAGCCTGAAGAGCGAGACACACAACATGAAGGATGCTTGAATTGTTTCAAGTGATTCAAACCGTTTCCTCCAAAAAGAAATACGGCGGCAAGGCCCACTGCTTTTGTGTGTGCTTCACTCTGCTTCAGGTCATCCCGGCCACACACTCAAGCTTAACAACTCCAATGCTGTGTTTCCACTTGAGGGACCAAGAAAACATCAACTATGACAAGTATTGCATGTGTTCATTTTATTTACAAAACAAAGAAACAGAAAAACATACTGCAAAAAAGACCTTGTGGTGACCTTTAAGAAGCAAAAAAAAAGGTTATAAACAATTGGAGAAACTTAGAGATGGATTAAGGTTTGTATTTGATATTTGCTCGTGCTCAGTTTAAAGTGGCTTTACCTTTCCAGTCATTGTGTAAACATGCTCATGGCTCTCCCAGCAGACACACAGGACACAGGGAAGGGCAGACAGACCGTGTCAACACTGCGGGCCCAGGTTTTCTGCTCTCAACTCCATTTCTCTGCTCCCTCTCCAGATAGGCTTTGTTCTCACTGCCCTAATCTTTTGAAATGTGAAATTGGGTCTCTTTCCGAGGGATAAAGTGTATTGAGAAGCCAAAGCTGATCAGCTTCCGACAGCATGTGACAAAGCCACACATTACACTCTAAGTGGGGCACGGAGGAAAGATACAGAATCTCACCAGGGTTTTTCTCACATTTATCTGCTATAGGAAACATTGAAAGAACTACAGGACATACCTTCTCTCAAACTATTATGAATATTGACCTTCATTTGTATGAATGCTTTGTGTAGCAATGGGATGATGAGTAAATGCCAAATGATGTGCTAATGTTTTGATCATCTGTGCTAATTATGAGTAGTTAATTATGAGAGTTTACAGAATGTGTTGGGAAAAATTTGTTCCAGCTAAATAAATGTCAGTGTCTGATTTATGCAAAGCCATGAAAACAAAAACTTTAATTTAAGGACAATTTGAAAGATTGCTTTGGGTTTATGAGGAAGCCGTTATTTAAAACTCATTACATTTTCCAAGTTAAAAAAGCATTATATCTTGCAAAATTAATCTTTAGAGTTTTTGGCTATCATTTACGAAAAAATTATAATTTACACGCACCTATTCTCGCATAACAGAGCGTGTCCTGTTTCCTGATCACTATGTCACAAAAACAAAACTATTTTCTTACTGTCATTGGAAAGAAAATTAAACCTTAAAATGATGAATACAATTTTACACCTACAATCTTAAAGCAAATACTTTGTTGACCTGCAGTATCAAATTGATTACACAGAACACAGAAATGTTGTCATATATTTGAAATGTGGTCACTTTATGTGGACATATTGCACATTGAATGTTTTATTAATCTGACTGAATGTTTTGAATACCTCGAAAACTCTTCCCAGCAGCACTGCATTTTAACTCTCTTTCACAAACACAATACTGATTAAATGCTTCTCTGCAGTTCCTTTTAGGTGAATAAATGCACCCCATGTGTTAAAGGGACTTTCCATGTTTTGCCCTCCCTCAGGAACTACTGTACTTCTAGCTCTTGACCCCTGCCCCCCACCCCCTTGGGCACACACACACAGAAACAAAACCACCCCCTCGCACACCCACCCCTCTGCTCTGTCTAAGTCATAAGTCCGTGTATGAGGTCACCACTACCTTCACTCAACTGCACGCCACAGTCTGGAAGTGCACAGAAACACAGAGGTTCTTGTGTGCTGGCTCCACAGCTGGTTTCAATAACCTGGAAAGATTTAGATTGTGTCCACTTTGCTTGCTTTGTAAACAGAAATGGTTGAACGCAGATAATATTATCCACTTTGAGCATTGCAAAAAAAATGTATTACACTAGAAAAGGACTTTGAACTCCCAAGGGACTTGAATGGGGGTTTTCATGTTGAACAATAACCTAAAACACATGCTACTGCCATATAAGAGAAACTTTCATCTTTAGAGTTTAAAATGGAAAAGTGATTCAAATCAGCAATCTGTCAACAGATTTTGTATTTTCAACACTATTTTAAAGATTTCTTTCCAAGTCAAGTTAAAATAATTTAAATAAAATTAAGAAAACGCACTTGACATGAATAACACAAGATTACATTACCTCTCTGCTCTGGCCGGTAAACATTCCCATATGGGCTTTCAGGCGCAGAGTTGGGGGAACTTTGCCCTGGTGAAATTGGCTGAAGGAACGGTGGCTGTGGTCTTCCAAATGGTGGAAACTGCTCATACTGGGGGCTTCTTATTGGTGGCTGCCCAGCTGGTCCACTGTCAGCAGCCTGGGCTGTATTGGGGACAGCGGGGTTTGGCACAACAGGCCCAGAGTTCCCATTATAAAGATTGTGAGTGTATCTGTGGTCTAACCCATCTGAAAATGGTGGCTGTGGTTGCTGAGATTGCCGGGTGGTGGCGGTGCTGCTGCTGCGGGATAAGGTCCGGATCCATAGGGCGGGTAGTACATGAAGCCATCCTCAGTGAAATCAGATGGCGACCCAGGAAGTATTGGCGGTGGGTTAGCTCCATATACACCCCCAGTTCCATAGCCACCACCGGGTACAACAGGTTGAAAAGGTGGTTCAAAACTCCTCACGGGAACTTCGCCATAACTAGGATCGTAAGGTAGCGGTTGAAATGGCGGCTGTGGTGGCTGTTGTGGATAGGGGTACTGTGGGTAAGACTGAACATTGTATGTAGATCCAGTAGACGGTCTAAACCTAGAACTTGTAGATCCCTGGAAGGTTCCTCTACCACCAGTTGAACCACCACCGGTTCCAGTTGCGGTTTGCCTCCAATTATCAGGCACTTGTCCAAAACCAAAGGGATGTCTTGCCTGTCCACGAACAGTGTCTGACGATCCCCTGGAAGGTGCTTGACGACGCACATTACCTCCTTGGCGACGTGTGGGTCGAGTTCCAGAGTCAGCTACAACCACTCGAGGTGCCCTGTCCTGAGAGCTAGCCCCAGCAGGCACATACTCGGCTCCACTGTTGAGCAGGCTAAAAACTTGACCGTTGTTTTCCCATTGGATAACCTGCCTCCAAGGTGTAGCACTGTCCTGGCCCTGGCTCTGACTCTGTGACTGTGAAGACTCCTGAGCATGCCCCACTCCAAGCACAATACATAGTAAACATGCATAAAAAAAAGGCACCATTCTATCTTTAAATACAGTGCAAGTCATGGCTGCAGATCCTTCCAGGTTCACCAGAAAACTCAAACCACCTGTCGAACTGTCAGCAACACAGAAATGTCCTCCACTGACACATTCAGCTTTGGTGTGGAGAAATGATGACAAAATAGGCTTCTTATTGAGGGCATCTGCAAATCTTCTGGCAATGTGTCCTGTGAACATTCAAAAGCTTAAAAAGTTGCTGTTGCTGGGCATCTGTGCCAAAAGAAAATCCCTTGACTTCTTGTCTGCTTGCTAGAATGCGTGTAAGTGGCTGTGCGTAGCTCCCCGAGAAAGAAGTGCCTGTCTACTGCATGACTGCTAGCGTCTATTTGCCTGATTACTTACAATGGGCTGTGAAAAAATCTGAAACTTTTTAGAAGGGGAGGTCCCACATGGCCCTAGTGCTAGCAATGTTCCCTGGACCGAAAACAGCAGCAGCCAAGATTTTCATTCATTCTCTGGAAAAACATTACAACTTACTGTAAAACACATTTCACAATCACTGATTTGAATTCTTTTCTTATTATTTAGACAAGGTAGAGAAAAAGCACAACAGACATTTCATGTTCTAGTTTGGCTTACACTAGATAAAATTCACAATAATGGCATGCAGATGAGAAACAGTATTTAAATAATTAAATAAATTAAATACCTATGGCATCATGTCCTAAGGGAAGACAATGAAATTATTTACTTAGGACCAAAGCAGTTTAACTAGATTATTATTTTCTGTTTAGAATATATCAAAACAATGATGTAAACCAGCACATGCAACATTACCTCATTGTATAACCCTGGTTGAGTCTGGTTAGGATTATAGTTTGGGGAAACTGTGGGACGAACACTCCACCCCAAAAATATTGAACTGAGGTCATTAGGTACATATTTAAAGCTACATATCCATCACATACACACTTTTCATCTACACCCACTTTTCTCCTTGATGGTTTAATTAAATGCACAAAGGAAGAAAAATAGACAGAGAGAAATAACTACTAATAATTTTGTGCTTTCCAAATTCTTATTTTTGTTATTCAGGCTGGGGTAATTTAGGTATCATTACAAGGCATCAGCAGCTCAAAAGTAATTTTTCTAACCTTACTGAGCATAAGAGAGGATAGATTCTCATGAATTTTTTACTTACAAATATCATAAAAATCCATCTTGCTGTGCAAGGTTACACCTGTAGACTTCCTAGTTGACCTCTGATCATGTAATAAATTTTAATTTTGAATTTGAATCGTATCAATAATAGCTCTGCGTTCAGAATATTTGCTCAATAATTACTGTCCTGTTCTTTACTTTTATGCTGATGGACAATTCTTTTGAACCTCTTATATATTCTTCTTAGTTATAGACCTTGAGGGACTTTGCCTAGGCACAAAAATATCTGCCTTGAAGGTGGCAGACCATTAAAGTGCCCCTAAAGTCAGTCAATGAAGCATTCTACTTCAGTGTTAAGTGTGAGGTGAGGGGCTGTTTTTATGCAGCTGCTGTATATGTCTTCTGTCTGCAAAGAAACAGTGTGCAGTCTGTGAAGTTGGCTGAAAGAACGCATTGATGTGACTATGCGTCATGGGAGAAAAGCCCAGAGAGAGAGAGGGCGCCCTGCTGAGAGCAACCTTTAACAGCACTGAATCAAAGAGACGCCCGCTCATACACTTAGCGCCTCTTTCATCTTCACTGTCAATATTTATCAATACAAGTTCCTCATTTGTTCTCACATGCTGTCTCTCTTCAATACAACTCTAGTGGGCAGTGATAAAACTTTAAGGATTGCAGTGTGGAACAATCATATTTTGCAATGTTAAAGATGTACTAGGTAAAAGTTCACAAAATTATAATAATAATTTGTAATTATAAAAATGTTTCAGAAGAAGCGCTTCCTGGACCTCCAGAGGATAATACACAGTAGATCCAACTCAGTGCTCTTATGTATTTGTGCACTTTTCAGACAGCTTCAGATTCAAACAGCACATATATACAGAAACAACCCTGTACAGTAAGAATTTGTGTTTCCAGCATATTTTTTGTGATAAAACACCTGCAATTTTTAGTTTAATGCCACACTGTGGAAAATTCCGGGGAGCAAGGACATCTCCATGAAGACAAGCAGGTGGTAGATCCCTCACAAGAAATGTTACATAGTACACCTTTAATGTGGGTCAAAGAGTAATTTGATGATTATGTAAGAGAAATTAAAGGCTTTTACCTGACTTTGTTGTAATGTTTGTTGTGTATGAATTATGCAAGACGAGATATCTGCATCTATATAGGTCCTGGCTCTGAACTCTATCCATGCATTTCAGTATCTTATGTATTTCTTCAACTGTAAAAGGTGATGTATTTTCATGAGTCATTTGAAGCAGAAAAACCAACCCAGTTGTGTAATGGACAGGACTAGGAAACCCACAATCCACCATACAATGGAATGGGGTGTTCCTTCGACCAAATGGAGTGGAAATTCTTTGGTATAGATTATAGAAGGAGGGTACATAATTGCACTACATGGTACATCTTAAAGCAGACCTCCCTGCAGCCCTTTGACACAAAGGGGAGTGTGATTGTGATTGATGACTGGATGAGGCTACCTAAAGAATTGGAGGAGAGTGGGGAAATCTTGTTATCTATATCCAGAATGTAGCACAGTATGCACACTGCATTTCTAGGAATACTATGAGGAATTATATTCCCATTTTATTTCTTTAAAGGTCACTACAATTACAGTTACGGTTTAGTAAGATATCCCTTGAGGCAAAATCAATACATGCACAGTTAACTCAGGGTATGCAAATTTTTTGGCAAAAGTGCATAAGTGGTATCACATTTATTATGTTGAAGCTTTTTACCTCCCCTTTTAAGGTTTTAAGGTGGATGATCTGTTGTTTTTTGCTGCAGATATAAAATGAGTGAATACGTACAAAGACAGGTCTAATGTTTACACAAAAAAGCTTCCAGTTGTGACTGACATACTGGTCAGGACTTTTAGCCCTCTCACTCGTTGTCCACATTGCATTATTAAATGCAAGGTTTGTGGTCCAAATTCTATTCTGGGGAATGTTGTGTGTTGTTGTGTTGGTGCAATATTGTAGAAAGAAAAGCTCAATAAATCTTAAAATCATTTGTCACTCAGACTTGAAGTTTGTAGGTTAGTTATTCTTCGCACGTTCCGTATAAACAAGGGTGAACCAGATAAGGTAAGGCTCTTTTCCCTTTGCAGTAATGCAATGTTCTATAGGGCCTTTATTACAGCATTTAGTCTTCACATATACAGACAGAACACAAGGGAGCATTAATCTGTCCATCTGATCCGCCTGTTAAAGTGCCGGAGCATGACCCATCACCCTCATCGCACATGCAAACTACACAGGCAGGAGCTCATTCCAGCCTGGGTGTCTCAGGAGCATGGCCTTTTGTGCATGGAGACCTGAGCTCGAGGGACGGAGACTGGGGCAACATACAATCTAAATCAGAGATTATAATGCAAACAGCCATGTGGGGCTCACTAATGACTAAGGTGAGCCTGAGACACAGCTTTGACTCTTCTTTGGAATATCAATGAGGTCTCTGAGGGACGTGAATATGGTGGGAAGTGACTGGCATATAAACCACTGCTGCTCGTCTGTGGGTATGAAAAGCACATGTATCCACCACAGAGTGAAAAGATTAGACCTATTAAAATAGCTACAATCCAAAGCTGACATAGGAAGAGTAGAATACAATGTTTCTCTAAAATACTATATAGACTTCCAGATAACTGTTATTTGGGTCCCAATTAGGGTGATAATTTCTCATGGGGTCAATATAAAATAAAACTATACAGAATGCTTTAGTCTTCATGAATGGAGTGTAGCTCAGCAATGTTACAAATGGGTAATGGGAAAAGAGTCTTGGCCTCAGTGCATTTTCCCATCTGAAAAACAATTTCACAGCAAACACAGAAAAACAACCCATGTTTTTTTTCCCACCAATTATAGTGAAAAATGAATGAAAAGGAAGTCACAGATATTCACCGTGACACCATCTCTTTCCTCGTGTGGCTATTGTCCACACAGGGCTCTCCCTCCTCTGTCTCTCTTGTTACTGACATTGTACAAGGAGACAAAGTCGCCCTGCCTCTGTAAACATAAAGCATAAAGCAGCCTCCTGCCGTTGTATGCACAATAATGCCTGGAATAATGCAGTGAGTGCTGGATGGATTTATGGGCTGTGTGGAGTGAATTCTGCCCTGAAAGGTGAGCTGCTGTTAGGATTCCATTAGCGTGCTGTTCAACCTGTCTTGTCAGAACCACATGAACCCATTATATCTCCAGCTGACAGGAGCACTCACAAAAATGAATGTTTCAGTATGTTTTTCAATATAAAAGGTTGATTGAATAGAACAAAGTTAACCAATTTTGATCCAATTAATTAAGTATAATTACAGAAGATATATTATTATTCTTATGTAGTCTGTGTGAATTCTTCCGTTGATAAGCTAACTCTAACTAAAAATCCTTCCTTCAATTAGGAGAGGCACAAAATTTTATTTTAGGTAAGTGGACACATTGAACAAGCCATATTTTTCTCTCATTTTAACCTGCTCACTACTGAAAAATATTTAGGCAAAATGATCCTTTTACTGGCCAAAGTTTTTGAACAGACAATGATCTTTTGACACTCCTTGTATATGATGTGTTAAAGCGTTTTCTTTTGTTTGTAGATATTTTTTAATTAGCCAACTTTCTCCTCTCCCATCCCTCGCTCTCCTCCTCCTGCAGACAGAGTGATTGATCAGATACGCTGTTGAGTCAGATTACATTATGCAGTTCTCACTGATAAGAGAAAAGCGAAACAACTATTTTCTTCCCTCTTATCTCGTCCGAGTAGCTGTGTTTCTAAAATGAGAACCAGCCTCCTCCACCCGATATCATTATTCATTTTAAGCTCAAGCCTTCCCTACTGATTACTAGTTAACGGCTTGAAAATTCCACACCAGAGCAACTATAAGTACCAAGAGGTTGAAGGAAGTGTTATAAATGTGAATTGCTAATGGCATCAATTTGATAAATGTTGTTGATTTGGATATTTTTCATCAAATTCTAACTATGCCCTGGTTAAACTCTGAAATAATTGGAAATTCCACATAACCACCTCGACCAGGGAACATCAAAAGCAGAAATATAATGTGCGCAAATGTTTTAGTAAAACCAATGTTATCTATGACTGTTATAACATATATATATATATATATATATATATATATATATATATATATATATATATATATATATATATATATATATATATATATATGTCTACAGACAGTTTTTAAAA